GAAAGAGGATTTTGTTAAGGAATTCATGGGAATATAAAGCACTCTGCTTTCCTAGCTCAAGCCAAGCTAAAAGGCCCCAATTAAACCTTTCAAGAGGGGATACTGGTATTTTATTCCCAGGCTGGAGGCTTGCTACACTACAGAAATTTTAGGCCTGCCTGAATTGCCACTAAAACAGAACGAGTTCATGGGAGAACCTCACTGTGTCTTTTGGTGTCTGGACAAGATAGAAACTTTGCTTGACTTAACAAAAATTACTTAATTTATTTTTAATTTTTTATTAAAACATAGTTGATATATAATATTATGTTGGTTTCAGATGTCCAACATAAGGATTTAACAACTATATATTACTAAATGCTCACCATGATAAGTGTCGTTATGCTCTGTGAACATACAAAGAAATTACAGTATTATTGGCTTTATTCTCTATACTGTACTTCCATACCCATGACTAATTTATTTTATAAATTGAAGTTTCTACTTCTTTACCCCTTTCATCTATTTTACCCATCCCTCAAACCCCCATCTTTATAGTAACCAGCAGCTTGTTCTCTGTGTTTATGAGCCTATTTCTATTTTGAATTTTACCTGAAGAAGTCTAAAGGCAGAAGGCTGGCTGAAGTTGTTCACAACAGCAGGGCAAAGAAAGAGGTCTAGACTTCCAAGGGACCATGTTTTCTATGAGCCAGGTAGTTACCTCTGAGCGTAGCTGGCATCTCCAGCAGAAGAATGCAGATCCCATAAGAGGCAAGTTGTGTGGGAAGACAGTCAGAGGACACATTGTTCCCACTGGGGAATGGTGCAAAGAAGAGGTCCCCACTAGGGGTTGTGTAGTAAAGTGGTCTCTGAAGAAACCACAAAAGCACATCACAAGGAAAGGCAATGTTGGGCATCTACCTCACAAAGAATATTGATAACCAGATACTACTAGCCATTAAATAAGCCTCTCACTGTCCCTTTAAGACCCACTCTCCCTATCCACCCCACCCCTCAACCCTGGAGGAGCCAGAAGCAGCACAAGTAGGGGAGGAGGTGCAGCAAGGAAATTGAAAGGACAGACCAAGGCACTTTTCTTCACTGGAGATCTGTGGACTCTCTAGTCAAACTGCACTGGAGGTTGGAGGTTAGAGGAGAAGCTTTAAAATGAGCGTGAGAGGAAAATTTTGATTTTGAATGGTTGAACTTTTGAATACCTGAGAATTAAACTATTGTAAATATCTGAGAATAACCAAAAAGCTAATGGGTTACATACATAACATGCTATGAGATAGTGATGTATCACTAAAAAAAAAGCAGGGTAAAGGAACAGAGAGTCATAAAGGTGCTATTTCATAATAGTCAGTCAAGGTAAGAGTCTCAGGTGAGGTGACCCAAATGAAGTAAAGACGCAAGCCATGGGAATGTCCTTGGCCCTCATCTCCTTTCAGTAGACAAGTTCTCCTTTGCATAATCTTGTCCATTCACATGGCTTTGGTTTCCCCCAATGAACCTCAGTCTTGTATCTCTACCCTAAATTTTCTCCAGATCTGGAGACTCTCTTATTTAATGCCTATGAGGTATCCCTGCTTCAATGACCACAACCACCTCAATTCAACTTTTCCACACTTAAATTTCATCTTCCTTCCAAATTTCTTCTGTCCCCAACGTTTTCATCCCAGTGAATAGCTCTACAATCTACCCAATAGCACAAACCAGAAACCATCCCCGTATGTAGTCCCCAGATCCTGTTCTCATCACCCAGCTAGATCTTGAACTCCTTCCCACAGGCACTACCCACACCTAGGCCATAATCATCTCTCACCTAGATTACAGCAATTGTCTCCTAGCTGGTCACCCTACTTTCAATCTATTTTCCACACTGCCAGCAAAGTAATCTTCCCTATATCCAAATCAGATCCCAGAGGAACTTGGTGGCTCTTAATAGTTCTGAGAATTGAGTCTTTTATGTGGCTTAAAAAGACTTTGATGAACTGTTTCCCATCTACCCAACAAGCCTTGTCTTCCACCATTCCTTGTTCTTGAGTGCTCCTCTCCCAGCCATGCTAAATGATTTCCATTTCCCTCCAAACCCCAAATTCTCTTCCATCTCTTCCATCTTCCCTCTATTTTCTCCATGCAAATCCTTACTCATTGTTCAGCCCAAATGTGATCTCCTCTGGAAAGTCTTCCCCCTACCCCACTTAGATGGGTGCCCCTCTGTGCTCCCATTGTCCCACAGCACCCTTCATATATTTCTGACACAGCACTCATTCTACAGTGTTCTCATTGTTCAAGTGGCTGCCTCTCCCACTAAAATGTGAGCTCCTCATGAGCAGAACCTATGTCTTACTGATCTCTGTATCTGTAAAGCCTGGCATATGAACAAGTTTCTCTTTCAAAATCCAGACTGTACCTCTGACTGAACTCCTTTTTCCCTCACTCATCCCTTGTCTTTGAATGTCCAACCATTCCTAATGATTCCACTAGTCTACCCATACAGGATGTTTGTATTCAAAACACCTAGCTGACCATTTATTCTAAGGTTAGCTCTCAACCCGGAACATGTTGCCTGCCTTCCCAGGGACCATTAGGCAGTGTCTGGAGAACACTTTTGGTTGTCACAAGTCAGGGAAGGGGTGCTACTGGCATCTAGTGGGTGAGGCCAGGAGTGCTGGTCAACATCCTGTAGTGCACAGGCCTGTCCTGCACGGTGAAGAAGTGCCCAGCCAAAAATGCCACTAGTACTGAGGCAAAGAAACCCTGCCCAGGGGCTAGCAAAACCCCTCAACTGTGGTGTACTTAGTAGCCTTTTTCTCCTATGCTGAATTACAGAGCTGCCTGTGGGATTCAGTCCTGTCTGCTGGGGTCTAAGATAATGGTGAGGAGGAAAAATAAGTCGTAAAGATAAAGTTCTCGTGGGCTGAGGTTTCCTTGTCTTGCTGGATGAGCAAAAGCACATGTGAACATAAGCCAAAACCCTTATTTGGAAAAATGCTCGCTTACAGATAGGCCATTCTGCAAATGACCCCAAAGGGCTTTAACTAAATTCAGAGAACTCTTTAGAGCCATTGTTTTTGACTCAAGCTAAGCACACTAGACAAACTTGTACAAGTGGATAAAGGGCAATGAGAATTGGTTGAGCTATTTCTATATGCCAGACACTGTATAAAGTGCTCTATATGCATTATCCCTTTTAATCCTCACAATAGCACTATAAATTAAGCCCTGTTATTATCTGGTCTGGAGACTCTAGGTAACATCAATGCTTAGTGAAGAAATAAGTACTTAAATCCAATGTCTTTCTATCACACCATGCTAGGATGATTCAGTGCACATAAAAATCAAGTGCCAAAGCAAAAGATATCTTCTAATACTTTCAATATTTTGTTTGCTTCTGTCAAACTTAAAAAAGGAAAATTAGTTTGGCATCACTTTAATCCAGCTAACTCTTTATTTGGTTCTTCAGACTTAGAGTAGGACCCATCTTCCTTTGCTACATTTCCATTTAGGAGCCCTATAGTCCAATAGGATCATGCTTGGGCTAAGAATACAAAGATATGAGCTCATTAAATTGATCATGTATCCTCGAAAAAGTGATTATCATATTTACCTCACTATTCCTTGGTTTCTCATTTACAAAATAATAAAGCTTGATTATGTTAACAACAGGCTATGATAGATGTGCTATATCCCACATATAGGCCTTTCTGATACGCAGCTTCAGGGTCCCTTCTCAGGCCCAGACCCACTCCCTAGCCAAAGTCCCCTGGGATTCAGTCTGCCTTTCCCTCTTTCTAAACCCATTCTGTCCCCTACTGTCCTCTGCTGCTACTCATTCTGTCCCCTTGGGGTTCTCATCAATATTCCCATTCCCCCATTCTGTAGAGTGGGAAACAATCTCAATACTCATATAAGACATATAATGTAACCTGTTATATCATTACTAAGCTATCCTTTCCTTGCAGAGAATGACTATTGCATGGGCCAGAATCAGAGGAAAGCATGGATTGTGTAACTTTTCTGTTGCTATTGAAAACACCATTGAAAACTGCTTTAGTATGATCTCTAATGCTCCACAGAAATGGTGGTCATCATAACAGGATTGTGCCTGCCTTAGAATGCCTCAGTTACTCAACCGTCAACAGTTGCCCCAGTGCAAAGAACAGTTTGTGCTAATGTTGTAGCATATAGTCTATTGCATGTCACAGCCCACATTACTAGCTTTCCCCCCACTCTGTTTATACTTACTCTAATCACAAGCTTCATCTTCAGGGATCTTGAGATCACATCTCCACCTACCCTGCTGTTGTCATTCCTTTTTGATAATGCAGTTCAAAATCTCTCTTCAGACATACATGGAGGAACTACCTATCTACACGTCTCTTCACTTGGGTTTAATGCTTACTTCCTTCTTCTAAAATTCTCCTGGTGTTTTTTCTTGCATCCTTGCTTGGCAATTTTGAGGCTGTTCTTAATGTGCAGCCATAGGCATATGAGAATGAAGCCTGACAAAAATAAACTGCAATTAGTTGTGCAGGCAGTTACTAGGAAACTACAGCAAATTTGTTGGGTCCTGGCCCTCATTTTGAGCAAACAAACAAGTTTACTGAGAGTCCACCCTTCCTAGATAACTTTCTATTTAGAGTTCAGTGAACTTACAACTATCTCGCTTCAGCATGAACCGAAACAATGCAACAAGATTTCCAAACGAAAGATATTTGATCCCCAGAGGTAAAGTGAAAAGTAGTTTTATTTTATTTTATTTTATTTTTATTGAGACACATACAATAAAATGCGCAAATCTTTGTGTACAGATCAATGAATTTGACATGTGTATATACTCATATAACTATCACTAGATCAAGATATGGAACATCCTCACTAAAATCTTCCCCCACCTCACCTATTTCACCCAAAAAGAAGTCATCTTCTTTTATAACTAAGAAGATTGGTTTCCTCTGTACTCTAAGTCCTATGATTATCCTGTGACACATTTTTCACATTATCTCTTTCTTTAGGTCTTCAAAGAAGCAAACTAACAACAGGATCTTCTTAGAACAGGAAAGAAAGGACAAGCAGGAGGGATGATGTCCACATTCCAGCCTTCTGTTGCTACTGCTAACTATCCAGAGGAGGAAACTGGTAGAAAGCTGATACTTCAGTTGCCCTGAAGCAGTGAGAAAACTAATCAGTTGGGACATCCGCCAGGAAGAAAAAGTGTAGATTGGCACCAATCAGCCAGGTCAAAGTAGCCTCTGCTCTGTGAACATCTCTGCCTGTGCAGATTCCGCCTCTCTGGGGGTCTCTTTTCCCAGTCTAATTTACAAACTTGGTGACAAAAGGGTTAACTGTTTGGGGTCAGCATAATACAGAGCAGTGGAAAAGCAAATACAGAAAATAGGGACAAGATGTTCTACACATACACAATAGTGTCATTTCTTTTGAGGAAACACAGGAATCAAATAGCAGAGATTTTTGTCTCTTAGGATTCTGAGGGAAAACAAAATGACCTTGGCATCTAGAAAATAAGCTTCAGAGTGGAAGATTGAAGTTATTACCTACAATAAGATTAGATCCTACCCTGTGGGAACACATTTGTGTTCTGCAGTCAATTTGGGATTAACCTTTTCAGGGCTGCTGGAGAATTAATTGGTTCTTAACTTCTCTCACTGGGCTGCCTTAGGCTCTAGAGGTTTCCATGTTTTCCAAAGGAGCTTTGTGCACAGCAGCCAGCTGTGCAACTGTGGCTTATTTACCCATGCTTCTGGCTTAGATCCCTCTGAGTGTGAGAACTGGAGAAGGCAGCCCCTCCCAGAGAGCACACAAGCCCAGCCCAGCTCAGGAGGACTTAGTGTGGGTGGGGTCCATCCAGTAATCAAAATGGCAGCCCAGAAAAGGACTGAACTGGGAAACCACCCCCACATGTGATTTCTCCTCCGCTGTACTTCTTTTCTTCAAATGCTCCTGCTTTTGTACACACTACCACAGATGGAGGCAGTTGTGCAAAATTCCAAAAGCCCAAGAATTCAAGCTGGCACTGCTTCAGGAATTGTGGATTACTTAAAGAAGTGTACAACTTAGTTAAAAAAGATATTCACCAAAATGTTAACAGTGGTTATTCCTGTGGAGTGGGATTACTACAGATTTTTATTTTCTCTTTATTTTCCTAAACTTTTCATCACTACTATGTATTACTTGTGTAGATTTTTCAAATTTCCTTTTTAAAAAGGTAACCTTCCTAGATGAGTCATTTTCACTTCCCTGGCAGTCTATCTCCAAGCTGTAGAACTATAAATCACAAATGTACAGTGTACAGAAAACAACCAAGTAGGGAGCCTTCCACTTCCAGAATTATTGTTCTTTAAAATCATGGAGATAAGGCAAAGGATGAAGATATGAACAGACTTTATCAGCAGGACCTTGGCAAGAAAGTAATTCAGTCTGGATAGTTCAGATGAACAGAGTTTGTGAAAAGACTATTTATAGTGAGTGGTCAGGGTACAAGAAGAAATAAGGGCTAATGAAGTATAAGTGGGAAACCATTACCAAGCCAAGAGCCTTGTCCCTTGGCTGAAGGGGAAAATGGGGGAGAGATTCATTAAAATGTTTTATATCTTGATCTGAATGATGGTTACATGAGTGTATGCACATGTTACAATGCATTGAACTGTACACTAAGGTTTGTGCATTTTATTGTATGTGCCTCAATAAAAATAAAATAAAAGGGGAGACTGCTTTTCACTTGAGTTGTAGAGTTAACAGAGTTACTAGAACCCAGTGAGTGCTGGAGGAAGAGGTGCCCGTAGGTGCTCTAGTTGTGCAGCGATGCATCTGCTGCCAGAGATGTAGTGCCAGAGCAGGGAGGGAGTGGGGAAGAAATAACCTGACCACCCTCTCTTCCTGCTGTCTGATCTCTTACTGTTTCTACCCCTTTACCAAATCCAAGTACAACCCAACACTGAAGGGAGCCAAGAATATACAGTCTGCAGGGGTAAACCTCCTAGGACACAGAGTAGGGTTAGGAAGAGTAGAAACTGGATAGGGGTAGGGAGCAACGAATAATCAGCACTGTCTACCCCTTTTGTCATGCAGAAACCATTCTTGCCCATTGTGAAAAGGAAGAACTCTCATCTCCAACACAGAGGAGATACAAAATCTATGAGCCACCATATCATCATGAGGTGGTACTGATTTAATTATATTCCTGTCCAGAACCTAAACTATAACATTAGCCGCAACCAGTACCCTTCATGAAGGAAGCAAGGAAGGAGAAGTGAAAAAAAGATATAACTGATTAACATAAAATATGCATAGCTTTTAGAGTCCTCACTTGCTGAGAAACTCAACAGTTCTCCCTCATTCTTCCCCTTTATTCTTGCCCCAGGAACCAGGCCTCCTCTGCATACAGTCCTTTCAATAAATGTCCTTGAGGCAGTTACCACACAAGCTAGTGTTTATCCTCTTCTGGATCTACATTCTCATCTACTCTAACTCCCTAAGGAGAGTTAGATCACAACACTGCACAAATTAGAGAGGTACAAGGCTTCATCCAAGAGAGAGATCCTATTCCCAAAAAGACTCGAGACTTCACCTGTCTGTGATTATGAGAGCACAAGAATCATGTATGGAAGTGAGTTCTAAGGGCGTTGACTAAGGAGGAAGAAATATAAGACATGTTAGAGTCAAATTTACTGGTACACTCAACCAGAATTCAATATATAATGTGTTGGCTCAAGCACTAAGGTGTGTTGTAATGATCTACTAAAGTCCAGACTCAAAGTGGCCCACAGTCATTGAAATCAAAATGCCTAAATTTCTCTGACATACTATAGAAGAAGTCCAAAGATTAGGGGAAATGGATATAATGGAATGGATGTACTTGCAAACTACTTAGCTATCCTTAACTATACCTCCTGGGAAGACACACCTTCACCAAGGCAATAAAAGAAGGTATTGATGCCCTTCCTTTTCTTTCCCATTCCTAAGCAATTCAGTCTGAAAGGTGGGGGTAAATCAAGCAAGGCATCTGGAGGGCAGGATATTAGAGCATGAGTCGGGTAAGGAAAGCATGGAGCCCAAGTAGGGTGTGGAGGGCACCTGTGCAGGTATGGACAGCATCACACATAGAGCACACATGGAGGCTGTCTGACATGGGGTGACAAAGCCAAAATGGGGAAAGGAGGGAGCTCATGCAAAGGGACGGCCTGGGCTGGTATGCTGGCACCCAAGTAGGGTTGAGAGAGTGTCCATTACTGGAGGGCAGACCAGCATGGGGAGTCACAGCAAGGCAAGAAGGGCATTCCTAAGAAGAGGTGGTCTAGCATGGGCTATCAGAGTCCAAGGATGGTTGAGGAAAGTATCCTCATGGAATAAAAGGGTTTGGATGGCATGGAAAATCAGAACCCCTCACAGACAGGTTGGACTGACTCATGTGGTTTCAGAGCCCAAGCAGAATGAGAAAGGTATCAATGGGGAGAGACGGCCCAGCAATGGGACATCCCAGTCTAAGTGGGGTTATGAGACTGTCCACACTGGAACACAGCTCAGCATACAAAATCAGAGCTGAGCAGACTAAGGAAGGCATTCACACACAGCTGCAACTTGGCATGAAGTTTCAGAGCCCAAGTGGAGTAAGAAGGGTGTCCATGATGTCAGATCCTGAGCAAGGTAAAGAGTGTATCCATGAAGTGAAGTGGCCACCTAACACAAGGTGTCAGGGACTGAGCAGAGGGAGGAAGGCATATATGCAGGGGTAAGGCCTGCTGTACAGTATTAGATTGAAGAAGAGTAAGAAGGATGTCCATGAAGGGAAGAGACTTCCTATTGCAGGATGTGAGAGTCCAATTGGAATAAGGATGGTTTCCACATAAGTGAAGAAGCAGCCCAGAGATGGGTGCTTGAGCCCAAACTGAGTGAAGATCATGTCTTCAGGGAGAGGCTCTCTGATATGGGATGTCAGAGCCCAAGCAATGGCACAATGCTTGGTGAACCTCTTTGGATTTTTTTTAATTTTATTTTGGTATCATTAATCTATAATTACATGAAGGACATTATGTTTACTAGGCTCCCCCTTCACCAAATCCATCCCACATCCCTGTTCACAGTCACTGTCCATCAACATAGTAAGATGCTGTAAAATCACTACTTGTCTTCTCTTTGTTGCACAGCCCCCCCACACTATACATGCTAATCGTAATGCCCCCCTTTCTTTTTTTCTGTGCCCTTATCCCTCCCTTCCCACCCGTCCTCCCCAGCCCCTTTCCCTTTGGTAACTATTAGTCCATTCTTGGGTTCTCTGCTTATGCTACTGTTTTGTTCCTTCAATTTTCTTATGTTTTTATATTCCACATATGAGTGAAATCATTTGGTACTTCTCTTTCTCCGCCTGGCTTATTTCACTGAGCATAATACCCTCTAGCTCCATCCATGTTGTTGCGAATGGTAGGATTTGTTTTTTTCTTACAGCTGAGTAATATTCCATTGTGTATTCCATTGTGTACAACCTCTTCTTTATCCATTCATCTACTGATGGACATTTAGGTTGCTTCCATATCTTGGCTATTGTAAATAGTGCAGCGATAAACATAGGGGTGCATCTGTCTTTTTCAAACTGGAGTGCTGCATTCTTAGGGCAAATTCCTAGAAGTGGAATTCCTGGGTCAAATGGTATTTCTATTTGAGCATTTTGAGGAACCTCCATACTGCTTTCCACAATGGTTAAACTAATTTACAATCCCACCAGCAGTGTAGGAGGGTTCCCCTTTCTCCACAACCTCGCCAACATTTGTTGTTGTTTGTCTTTTGGATGGTAGCCATCTTTACTGGTGTGAGATGATATCTCATTGTGGTTTTAATTTGCATTTCTCTGATGACAAGCGATGTGGAGCATCTTTTCAG